TGGCCGTGACTGTACCCCTACAGATGGGGATACACGGTAACAGGGCCTTCCCCTGCCACGAACGACGAACGACAACAGAGCTAGACTTTCTCGCTGCACCACAAAATCCGCCGTTGACAAGTAAGTCCGCGTTACCTTCGTACAACGACGGCCAGGCCACCGAATGAACACGATGCCAACCAAAGGGTTACAGTTGATTGTCAACGGCAGCATATGGCGGTACAACTCCTGTTCAACACCCGCGTACCACTCGACAAACAGCCGCGACCATCGTACTGTACACGACTCAGACCCACGAATGCACGGCTGCAATCTCTGGATGGAACGCATGAAAAGACGATTGTCAGACTGCTGCTGCGGCATCATCTAGCGAACAACCCACAAGAACAAACAATGCGACGGAGCATTACATCGGTGAGACTGCGATCTGATACGATGCAAGTGCAAGGCCCACAGAGATAGTTGCAGAACAAAGAGAACACACCGAAACACCGTCGAATCGCCATTACCTTGTTCGGTTCGTAGTAAGTCAAGACTCACCCGTAACTAATCAGCAACACGAAACAAAGGTAACGAAGGGCCGCAAGCCAGCCAGAAAGAGATAAGACGGGGTTCGACAAAGACAGTCAACAAGCACGACGAGCATGGGCTGCTTGATCGGGATGAGAGAGCTCACCTATAGTAATCAAGCAGATACCAACAGCAGGGAGAGCAGGGAGAAAAGCAACAACCGTCACGAAAACGACAAAAAAAAAAACATAAAAAAAAAAGGTCTCTGCACTTTACAGCAAGCAAAATGCTGCGAACGATTTCTAACGCTACAACCTTTTCACGAACACAGCTCATGTTCCTACATGTACCACGGATAGCATCAATGTAAACACACTTACCTCTTTCAGCGTATACTATGCAAAAACCAACGACGCACGACTAAGCAGCGGCTGGGCTTCAACAAACTAGCACGAAACACGCACATTCAAAACACCACAGATGACAACAGTGGCTGCATCCTGGGGGGATGCTCACCACACTGACGTGACAAAAAATAAATGATTTTCTCGAAAAGCTGCCCGCGCGGTGTTGAACAAAAGAACAGTAGCCCTACACGTGCAGCCGTAGCTGACCGACACAGCCCAAAACGGGTATAACAACACTCACCAGGTACATGAACACAGCGGTTGCCGTACGTTGACTGCCGATTGCGACTTACCAGTACGCCATGGGCGAAAACCGTGTGGTAGCTATCATAGCTGGGGAAACTTATCCACTCTTTGCGGCTAGCGGGAAATACGGCAGCGTCTATCGTAGCTAGTCCGCTGGACAGGGAACATCGCCCCGATCCAAGGCTGCTTGAACGTTTTGGGGGGGTCTACTCTGATGAATGGAACATTATTCAACTCCTCCCACTCCCGTCGAAGGGTGAATCTCAACCTTGATTCCCACCGCAACGTAACTTGTCTGTCAGAGTCAACCATCCCGCAGAACCGCACAGCGCAATCTGCAAATGGCAACAAGCCGAGCCTACCTCAAGCATGAGAAGATCTACCAAAAACAAACAACACAATGGACGACAACAGCAGCAGTAACAACTTATTTTTTTCGTTAGCCACCATATCCAACACCATAATACTTGTATTAAACATCAATCGCCGTCCCAAGAAACCGACCCGCGGCATTGCATCCACACAACAAACGCACACTCTCCAATCTCTCAACACTGCAACACATCTAATAACCCCGAGCCCCGACATACCTCCGCCCGAGCCTTGGCCCTCTCCTCCTCCCCAAGCCCCGCGGTCCGCGTAGCCCCCGTCTCCCATGCCACCGCCGCCTCCCCTGCCGCTCATGTCACCAGCGCCCCCCCCGCGTCCGCTCATGCCGTCCCCGCGGCCGCCGCCGACGCCGACATCGCGGCCGCCGTACCTTGCACCTCCGGGGGCCATCCCGCGCCCATCGACGTGGTGGTCCATGCCACCCTGGCCCATCATGCCACGCCCGCCACCGCCACCGCCCATTCCCCCGCGGCCGCCCCCTCCGCCGGCACGCTCGGGGTTTTCCATGTAAGGATCGCCTCCTGCACGGTACGGTACGGTATGTTAGAATGACACTAGTGGGAAAAAACAAGTCAAGAAGGGGTGTCGATGGAAAGAAGCTGCTTCATGGTGTGGGCGTACTGCGACGCGCGATCATGTATCGAGTAGTCTGGTGAAAAATCTTCCGGCTTCAATAAACCATGTTCGCGTCGATCTAAGCCGCCTTCATGTGCATCAAACCGAACCCTACAGATGTTCTTCATTCTCTCGACGGCGTCACACAACAAAAGCAAAGAGCAGCTGAAGCCCGGGTGGGCGAGAGCGCAGGTGGACAGACGAACGCGAAACACAAGCGAATTGCACCTACACACTGGCTGTAGGGGTGGCGAGCACTCCTATCTCTTTCGAACAAAATATTCTCAACACAACCGGAAACCTTTTGCCGATGACCTCATCGTCTGCCTCTCAGCAATGAATCAATCACTGGCTGCTTGGCTTGCACACCAGTGCGCGGCACGCACCGCGTCCATATTCGTCCCAGCCACCCGCGCCGCCACCCGCGCCTCTCCCGCCCATGCCGCCGACGCCGCGCCCACCTCCGCCGCGCCCACCGCCGCCACCGGCCGGACCATCCATCCCGCCGTCCATGGGCCCAGGACCGCCGCCCCCGCGGGGACCCATCGGGCCCATACCACCGGGGCCATCACGGCCGCCGCCCCTGCCGCCCATCCCGCCGGGGCCTCCGCCAGCGGGACCCATGCCGCCACCCCTGCCGGCAGCAAGACTGCCGAGACCGGGGCCTCCGCCGCCGCCGCCGCCGCCGCCGCCCATGTGGGGAGGCCCGCCGCCCGGCCCGCGCCCGGGGCCCCCTCCCATCATGCCGCCGGGGCCCCCGCGGCCGCCTCCTGGCATCATCGGGTCTCCGCCGGGGGGTCCGCGTCCTCCCCGGCCGCCGCCGCCGCCGCCGGCCATGCCCATCCTGAGGAGCAGGAATGGTGCAAAGATGGCGTGCACGCATGATAGGCACCAACAAGAGACGATGATACGTGAGGCTCTTGATGTGGACAAAAGGCGTCCGGAGATTTACACGCGGCTCGCGATTCTTAGGTGGACATGGACTTGATATTTATATCGCCTACAACGCAGCTAGCTCTGAGTCATGCGACGCCGTGATGGGGGGTGCAAGCCTCTTGTTCTTCCTTGCGGCAAAAAAGTGACTGCGGTGGGATAAGGAACCGTTTCGTTGAGTGAGGCTGCAGTAGTAGCATGGTACTCCGGCAGCCAGGAGGACGATGGGAGATACCGGACATAACGTCGTGACGTCACCACTAGAGAACTCCACAGAGGCTTGCTTGGCCTTCTCTTGACCTATCGATTGTACGCTCATGCCCGTCCTCTTAGGTTACACGCCCGGCTAGAGAACGCAACCTCCCATTCTTACTATTTTGTTTGGCATGCTATTGCCAACGCACGGCAAGTCGTAGCGTACACGCAACATGCGACACGATGGATGTGCCGTTTGTATGCTGTATTCTGGAATCAGCTACAATACCACCACACCAACACCCCAGCACCACCAACATCAACACCAACACCAACACCCCAGCAACACACAACACCAGCAACAACAACACACCAACACACCAGCAACACCAGAAACACCAACAACGCCACACTATTACAACACCAGCAACAACGACGAAACAGAAACGCAACTCACCTCCCGCCGCCCCTCCCGCCTGGCCCCCGGCCCGCGCCCCCCCTCCCCGGGCCAAGCGAACCCCTTCCAGGGCCCAAGGAACCCCTCCCGGCACCCAACACGCCGGGGACAATGCCGCCTTCGCCCATCGGTCCAATACCACCGGGACCCATGGGCCCAATACCGCCTGGCCCCATGCCGTCAGGTCCTGCATTGCGTGTGTGTTTACAGCGACAGACACCAACGGGTTGGGAATAGCCATTGTGAAACGTTTAGTAAGCCGGCATGCCCTATGGCACATATGGTTTTGGCTTCTGGGTCATCCTTGCAAACACACAGCCTGAGCCGGCGATCTGGCATCTTGCTCCGTCCCGGCACCATGCAATTGTAGGGATGCAAGGTCAACGGTCTATGGCACGTGTCTACACGAGTGCCTCAACCCCCACTCCCCTCCACGGAGGGAATCGGATATGCGCACGTCCTGCTACACGTTGGCGCAACTTCAAGCCAGCCTTGTCACTAGCCGGAGACACTCCATCTGCCTGCTGCGAATGTAAAGGCGTGCCGATAGTTGAGGTGGGTCCGCAAGAGCTTGGTGCAAATGTTTTCTGCAGTCGGCTTTCCCGCTGCGGACGAGTGCCACAAGCAAGTTGAACAACCGTCACTTTGCCCCATTGCGTGTGCTCTGCATCCATGCGTCAAGACGGACTCGAAGAAATAGTTTGCATTCTACGCAACGACAGGTACGCGTGCATCCACGGACAAAATCTTGCACAATCGCGCGTTCGCACGTTCGTGTGCGCGAAGGTACGAAGCTACGGTACGCTAATGCATTCTTCCATCTCGCGTGCACAATTCGATGCAGAGTAGTACCGCCTGCTGGGCACTGAAAGCCAAGCTCGCAGGGGGGATGCATTCGTACGTTCGTGGAAATGTGTGCTGCCAATTCGCGCTCGCCCGATGCCACTACAAAGAACGCCGCCGCCACTCACCCATAGGTCCTCCAGGCCCCATCGGCCCTCCCATCGGACCCATTGGCCCCATTGGCCCACCCGGCCCCATAGGACCCGGGCCATTCGGTCCCATAGGGCCGTTCATCGGTCCGCCGGCCATGCCGCGCCCTCCTCGACCACCGCCGGCCATACCCATCCTGCCACAAACAAGCCAAGCAGTGGAAAGGTAAGGATGAGGCCAACGGGCCAACGCTAACGTTGACTTACGAGGTGTTTGCAACCCGTCATTGTTGACACTTGCCTTGCAAACCATAAGCGCAAAAGAGAAAAAAAACATGATCCATCCTCCCGAGCTCCCAGTCACCCAACGGTACGCATGACACTGACTTCTCGCGTGGCAGGCAAACGAATTCGGGAGTTGCGCAACCATGGTTCACTACCCCCAACCCTAACCCTACACCCTAGCGAAGGGTGGCCAAGTGAGGGCAGTCCTACACTAGGCTGAAACGAACACAACTAACCATCCCCACGGCAGCCCACGCAAAACAGACGAGACCGACCATTCACAAAGAGTCTCCAGCGGACAAACAAGCCAGCCACGCAACCCGAAACACGAACAAAAAAAAAAAGCCGCGTCCTCACCTTCCACCTCTGCCTCCCCTCCCTCCAACTATCCCGGGGCCGGGAAGCAGCGGACCTCCCATCGGCCCGCCGCGGCCACCGATCATGCCGCCCATGGGCCCGCGGCCCGCGATAGGTCCGCCCATGGGGCCACCGCCGCCGCGGCCGCCGGGGCCGAAGTTGCCGCCGAAAGGACCACGACCGCCCATCCCCATGGGACCCATGGGACCGCCCATCATGCCTCCCCCTCCGTTCTTGGGATGTACGGTCGACATGGCCAGCTCTCGGCGCTCATCGTTCTTGGAGGAGATGGTCACCTGCAGCTTGCGGCCCCGAAAGAGCCTAGTGTTTGCAGAAGGGAAACAGCAAGAGAAAAAATAAAAGAAGGGGGGGGGGGGGGGGGGTTATGTGGGGAGCGCTGTCTTCATCGTGAATCGTTGTACGATACTAGACTGTTGTATGCTATAATATTTGTCTTTTTTTCATTTTGGTTCGTTGAACGTCCGCTGGGCTCGTCAAGCCAAGAACACGTGAGCTGCGTGAGAATTTTGTTGAGCTTTGGAAACGTCTGACTGGCAGCTGGCAGCCAGCTTTCGTGCATATATCCACCATGCAATACAGCTTAATGGTACTGATGATATCGTGCTCTCACGAGCCACCTACGAGGGGGGATCCCTGGTACGAAGGTGTTTCGTCTCTCTTCTTTATTGTTTCTTCTTACACTCTTGTTGATAATAGCAACCCTAACCCTGACCCTAACCGTCAACCGCAGTCAACCGTTGCCGTTGACCAAGTCGTTAGCACTACTGCTGTATATTCTCTACGTGCTTTTGAGGGCAGCAACGACAATTGGCCCATCACTACGGCAGAAAATCCAAAATTGTCATCGTTCTGGGACCGGAAGGGAATGGGTTACGTTGTAAGGGGGAGGAGAAAAAAACACACCAACACACACACAAGTCCCGGACGATGGCCTTTAGGGGCATTTTATGTTTTCAATTGCACTCAGACAACGGCTTTCATTGGTCAGCACGTATAACAGTAAAATAGTACAATAGTAAAATACTATAATAGCGCAATCGATTTGATAGGTACTTAGAAGAGACGGTTCAAGCGGGGAGAAATCTTTGCACGTGCACCCAGGGCTGCAACCGCTGTCCGCACCATCCAACCAGCAGACGCCTCTCGATGTCTTTTTTTTTATTGCGGATATTTCGCGAGGGCAACGCATTTTCTCTACATGCTACGGGGGCTATAAGAAAAAAATACACAAAACACACACAGGTCCCAGATCATGGCCTTTAAAAGCATACGTGGCAAGGGGGTTAAAAACAAGACACACAAAACACGCACACAGGTCCCAGATCATGGCCTTCAGTGTGTTTTCAAACAAGACTGGCCTGGTTTCATTGGGCAGCGCGGTGCCTACAAATATTAGTTAAAACACACACCGACAGCCGGTTACTGCAGCTCGGGTGATGCCGACTATAAACACACACACACACACACACACAGCGCGTCCAACGCAGTGGCATAGCAGCCATCGTAAACACGTACATCGTAGTTTTCTTCCGTTATTGCTACATTGCTACGGCATCTGTCTCTAATCCAGAGAGTAGCGTAGACTCCCCAATGACGCTCGGTCAAGGCCCCCCCCCAGGTTGTGGCCTTTAGAAGCATTTTTTTGTGTTTTCTACCGCAGTGAAACTTACGACAATTCATTGGTCAGCCGTTTAGCGCGGTCGATGCAAATAATAAACACACGTACACAGCCGGTTAGCTCCGTCGATGCCAACAAATAACGACAAACACGTGCCCACGCAACAAAAGAAAGACACAGCAGTAGCAGCAGCAGCAGCAGCAGCAGCAGCATACCTGTCGTGGTACTTGCTGATAGCGCGGTCAGCCGAAGACTTTTCCCCGAACGACACGAAAGCGACTCCTCGAGACCGGCCGTCGGGACCGTTGATGATGCGGCACCGCATCACCGCGCCGCACGTGCTGAACTCGGAGGCAAGCAGATCAAGGCTGACCTCGTAGTGCAGGTTGGATATGAGAAGCTTCACCTCGCCCGGCCGGGGGGGACCATCGATCCCTCGGTGCAGGGGGCTGTGGCAACGGAGGGCGGGGGGGGGGGGGGTACAGCAGTACTCGTGTAAACGAATGCCGTAAATAGTCGTTGGACCATATAGACATATTGAATACGCACCCTACAAAACCGGCACGGAGCGATACAGCAGTATACCAGGGCGGGGAGGGGGAAGTTGCTCATGAAAACGCACGCCATGGTCATTAGACCATTGACCTCGCAGCCCTACAACGCCGCCACGGAGCGATACGCCGGGCTTTCGCCGGCCCAGGCTACATGTACGTTTAAAGGTGGTCCTAGAAAGGGGTGTTACCGGTTTTTCAGGGGTCATGGAACAACAATAGCAAGAATAGTATTGTAGTGCCGCGGTGCTGGCACCACATTAATCCCATGTATATCCCATCCTGTCTCTTTCGCGCCCGTGAGGCTGCTTGAGATTGCCCGAGACGGTTTACCAAAAACCTTGATTAGAAACCACATCACCTCACCTACCAATTAGGTCAAGGGTCAAGGGTCAAGGAAAAACTCCCAGCGCAAGAGCACACCCTCAATACATGTGTGCATAGGGTCGGGGCGCTTTGGAGGTATGTATGTATACATGCGCGTGACAGCAGCGAGTGCTCGGAGATAAAGGGACTGGTGCGTACCAGCGCCACTCTTCCACACAATCAGAATCAGATGGTATCTGGGTAATTTGCCGGTCGGGTAAATGTACCACGTCGGCGTGATATGCAACATACATGTACTATGCATATGGCATCTGCCTGGCAAGTGCCGTGTCTTGGGACACCAACCTCGAGGTCTTGAGGTCCAAGACCACAACAGCAGGCACACGTGATGTGAACAGAGCTGCATGCTACGGAAGGCCGGTTGCCAGAACCAAGAGTACAAGAGTACCAACGGGACGGCACTTTTCAAAAACAGCCAAACAGCGGACAGATACAAGACTCAATCAAGGAGATGTTCTGATCCCATACCTCGCTGCCACAACATGTCTATATGAAGTATTAAGGAAAAATAATTACACACACAGAAAGACACCCATTCGAGATATACTGTACCCTCTCCCCCAAGTTCATCTTGCGGGCCGTTCCGTTTCAGGTGCGTTCTCCGCTCGCTCGAATCCTCGCCGACAAAAACTCCTCACAAAGCACTTCACCAGACATATCACTAATAATAGAACTCTCAATCGTAAGTAGTTACTGCCTGTAGTTGACGCACACACACACACATGTACTTGCAAGCCACCTATTGTATGCATGTATACCTGCTGAGAGTGTTGCCGGTCCGCTTGTGCTTCTTGTCCTTCTCTGCTGACCCAACAGCAGCAGTAGTGCTCAAGGCTCGTTTCTGGGGCAATGGGGAGGGTATATTGTATGAAATCGCAAAGGTTGGGGGGAGTGTCGGTACAGCAGTACTTACCAATCCTCCTTTGGCACGGTAATAGCTTCGGCTTACAAAAGCAAATCGTTGCACAGCAGCAAAAGCACCATTGCACATACATGTCGTCACTGCTGTGACAATATAATGGATTGCGCTGCTGTATGCATAGACTACAGCCTGGTATTCGATTTCCATTTTCGTTTTGGTACAAAATAGGTATGATCTTTGTTACAAATGGTTTTCGCGCATGCGGAACCCGTGACCGGTAACGAGAATTTCGCTCCAACAGAAACAACCATCGCCGGGTGAAGGCAAGGGGGAGGCATCCAACCCAGAACGACCATGGATGAAAACTTAATCCGGTTGGCAAGTAAAGCCGTACACCGGAAAAAAAAAACAGCTCGCACATCGTCCTTTGTCTCCCTTCACAGCTGAGCATCTACGACAGCTGCACTGCTGGCCAAAAGATGAAAACACGATTTCCTCTCTGCTGAAAAAAGTGGCTGTACCTAACAAACACTCGGGGTTCTTCTGCTCTCAACCTCTCGTGTGCATCCAATACGGCACTAAGCTCCTCCCTGCTTCTCTCTCTCTCTCTCTCTCTCTCACCGTCGATCCTTTCGCCGGCGATGACCCCACCATGATTCGTTCGCTTGTTGGGAGGAATCCCCCTCTTTCTTATCTTGTGTGTGGACTGGATCCGTTGTTTTCGATGAAAAGTGCTCCTGTGTGGAAGGAAGACGAAAGAGAGCAGAGAGGGAGAGCGCGCGAGGGAAACGAAGCGTCAGCGATAAGCCAAGAATCATCGAACAAAGTTAAAAAGCACATCGCTTCCACTTCACTCCACGCGCTTGCGTCCAAACGCGAGCGAGCGGCCGCCTTGTGTCCGAACCTCCCTCCGTTTTCGCATCTCCCTGCCTCCTTGGCTGCCTCTTGATGAAGGAGAAAACAGAGACTGCCTGCCCGCCAATTATCCAAAGTGTGTTTTCAAAAAGGGAAGGCCAAGACAAAAGACTACCAACGCAACCTCTAAGAAGGGACGGTACCTCGCAGATCGCCCTTTGGCAACACAGCTCTCTCTTGCGTTCTCCGTACCGCGCTGCAGCGATCTGCGGTGCCTGAGGGGCACCGCAAATAGTACACCGAAAAATATACATATGTCGATTAAAATGTGGAAATGTAATATAGGCGGGGGGGGGGGTAGAGGTTGGACATGACGAGAGCAACCAACTACAACTGCTGTTGGAGCCAAGAACCGGATTAACCACCCCCCCTGCGCCCAACGGTCGAAGCTTGTCGTTGCAAAGGCAGTGCGTATTGCAACAGGTGAGGCAACGAAGGAGGTGGAGAGAGGGAGGGGGCTGCTGACTGACTGCTGTGTTGTTGTGTTTAACATTCCACGAAAATCCGTTGGTCTGATCCAGCGACGGCCATTTCGTTGTTCTGCCGATGGCTTCGAAGGACAACCGCACAGCAAGGTTGGCGGTACGCTGTGACTCTGCAACCCCGGGATGCACCGAGAGCTACAGCTCCTCACGTCATCTCGGTTTTGATTCTTGGGGGGCGTTGAAACAACCCGTTCTTCAAAAAGTGTGCCGCCTCCCACCAAGTTTGCACGAGGGGTCGCTGTGTAGTTCGTCGTTATTAGTTTGTGTCCCACCCAGCAGTAGATCACGCGCGCGCGCCGCTGTGTCGCCGCCCCCAAGCATCCAGTGGGGGGGGCGGTAAGGCAGCTGAAGCACAAACGCTCGTTGGCAATCTTTGACCGGTTGTTGCTCCACGGCAACAGCAGTAGAGAATGAAATGCGAGTCGTTCGTTTGGCTCTCTTTTTCAACGATGATTCATGACGCAAACCCCAAGATTTGAATGTTCATGCGCCCAGATGATGTAGTGGTGTGTGCGAGCACTGATTTTCTCATGACGGCAGAGATCTCTGGGCTTGTCGGGCCGTAAACGTTGGGGTACGCACTAAGGGAGCTCTCGTGAGATTTGTTTTCGTTGTATGCATAAAATCGTTAAATCGTCACAATCCAACGATGTCGTCCCCAAAGTTGGATTTTCACTGCTGTCATCATCCCGCGCGTACACACATCCGCCTTCCTCCAAGCTACGACGGTATCTACAGCAGTCGTAGCTGCTGCTGGGGCGGCGGCGGCGGCGGCGCACACAGACGTGTTGATGCCACAGGCGGGGGTTAAGCATATGTATCTAACAACGGCGTTGTTTGATAATGGTACATTTTGTCAGCTTCTCTGTAACTACTTGCTGCACACAATGCACATGCAATAGACTACTACTGCTGTAGTGCTGTGTAGCCAAACCTCCCCCCCTCCCATTCACACGGAACGCAGTGCGAAACACCAACAGCGAACCAGCCAGCCGCCATGTCTACGCAACTTTCTGGAGATCTGGTGTGGGAGAAGTCATCCACGCGCAGGTGAGAAAAAGTTAACATGCCAGCATTTCCCAAGGTTAAGGTTTGGCTGTACAAGTGGGAAGGAGGAGCAGTGCCACCTATCTTGTACCGCGGTGTTGGAGGAATCTGGCCCGGGGTGTTCAAGACGGTTCCTTCCACCCTCATCTCCTCGTGAAAGGTGGTCGTCATGAAGCATTGTCATCTTTGGCAAGCCTAAGACCACGCTACAGTACGTCCGCATTGCGCTCATGTAGAAAGAGCCAAGTATAGTTCCTCCTGGAGGAGCTGTTGGCACACCAGGTGCCGGTTCCAACCGCCGTACTTCTATACCGCGTATGTACAACCCCATCATAGTTCAAAAACACCGTCGTTCTGAGTTGCTGTGGTCCGCTCGCCTCCGCGCAGCATTCATACTGTAAGGGGACTGGAAATACCACACACCCCGGACCGATTTTCAAAGCTCGGATACTCCACGACGAACAGGAGGTACAAATCAAACGATACGTATCATACGTCCAACACGAAAGCTCTCTCTATCGAGTAGACGGTTCCAACGCGGCCATTTTTCTGCACCGCCACTCTCGGTGCTGAGAAGTAGTCGAGCTTCGAAAATCGGTGCAGGGGGTACGATATCTTACGTCATGCCACCTTTACGGTAACATGAAAGTCCCTTCTTCCCCAACCACCGCGGCTGCTACGCTTAACCCCCTCTCCCTCAGGTACGCGCCGCCGGGGGGGCAGACGTCCATCTCCCTAGGGGACTACGCCACCGAAACCCCGGCCGCCGCCAACGGCGCCGCCAGCAAGGCGAAGGCGCAAATGGCGTCGCCCCCGAGGGCACCCACACCCACCCGTGCCAAGTCGGCGACGCCGACGGCCTCCCCCCCGGCGGAACTGGCCGTTTCCGCTGCGGGGCTCCACGTCGGGGTGGCGGTGTGCGAGTCGGAGGCTCTCAAGTCGTCTACTGTGGCGGCACTCCAGCAGCTCGGTGAGAACCAATGGGAGCTGGCTTCGGTTTCGTTGTCGTCCCGCCTGTATGTTGTTATTTCGTGTGGTTGTCGACCGGGCGTGTTCGTGCCTACGTGCCCAGGCAGGGCTCGTACCGCCACATGCGCTCTGCTGTAAAGCCCGCTCGGTTTGGTATACCGTATTCGACTCAGCAACCGTGCTTATGTAGTACAGTGTTTATATAGTGCAGTGTTTTGACTCACAGCTACTGGTGTACCAAACCCTTTCGTTGCGTGCTGCCGCGCTGCAACCTCCCTACATCTGCCGTGTCAACCAACACGTCTCCTCGACGCTTGTCCACAGGCGCCAAGACCACGATATACGAGGTTTCCGACCCACTCCAGCTCCCGTTCGCCATCCAGTGCATGGTACAGAAGACCGGGGTGTCGGTGGTAGTGGCCATCGGTTTCCTGGTTGCAGATGCCCACTGGTGTTCGAAAGAGGTAGGATTGATTCAGCGACATGAGACCGTACCAAAAAAATTGCGCCGGATGTTCAATACGGGGAAACCCGACCTACCCTAGCCCTAAGGATTCAGCGACAAGAGACCGTAGCATACATTTTGCACCGGATGTTCAATTCGGGAAACCCGACCTACCCTAACCCTATCCCTAAGGATTCACCGACAAGAGACCGTAGCATAAATTTTGCACCGGATGTTTTATACTCGGAGTAAGGGGAAACCCGACTATCTCGAGGGAATGCTTACCGGTCGGTGGACTCGTCTAGCGAAGCAGGCTTTTATCGGTTTTGGCCCGAGCAAAGAGAGGTGTTCCACTGTACCACTGCTGCTGATGGACAGAACGACACAACATTTTGGCTGCCTTCGTGGGCAGTTAGTTCCACCACAGAAACACGCAACGGCATACCATGACCGAAGCTTTGCCCCTTGTCCCGTGCTGATGCTGATGCTGATGCTGAAGGTTGGCGGAGCTTTGGTGAAGACGTTGCTGGAGCTGTCCCTGAGCCTGAAGGTGCCCGTGGTGAACGGCCTCTGCTTCCGTGCTGTGTCGGAGGGTGATGCGGCCGCGCTCAGCGGGAAGCTGGCCAAGGGAGCGATCCACATGTCCTCCGTCCGCGACGGCAAGCAGGAGACCTACACAGGTGCGGTAGGAGACGCGACCTAAGCGTTAGCGTTGACATTTCCAGGCACGGTGGGCTCCTAGTCCCTGTTAGACCAAGGGGAAGAGGAGGAGCCCTCGTCTGGGTGGGACGCAACAGCTACCACTGCGTTGTGCTTTGTATCGGCATTTGTCTCCCATCTTCCAAGCCTAGTTGCTTTGTGTTTGCGAGAGCTTACGTTGACGTCGAGGGCAGAACGACTTGCAGGCGCCTATATATGTGACCGTTACCGTGCGATCTCAGTCTTGCAAAACTACGCAGACAGAAGAAGATTGTACTTGTCGTGGTAAAAGTAGCACCACCACCACCAGGAATGGCGAATTGTGACCGCCCCCGTGCCTCACCAACCCTCGTTCTGTATCCTGAAACCACCGGCCTAAGTAACCACCCTAGCGCTTAGCCCCTCCGTCGCCCCCCCCCCTCCCCCCCCCTACCTGCAGTCTCGCGTGCCATTCCCGCGGTAGGCAACAGCGGCGACCTGTTCGCGTCCAACAGCCGCGGTCTCTCCCTCGGCCCCAAGCGGAGGTCGAGCGTGTTCGGGCAGACACGCGCGGTGCCCACGGACCTCACCTCACTACTGCTAGGCCTCAAGACCTCCCTCAAGGCCCACGGCGCAACGTGAGTAAGAAAAGTCAGTGACTTATGTTGGTTGTTGTTTGTCGGCGGTGGCGAGATGTGGCCCGCTCCGTGGACGCGTGGCTGTTGTACGTTTCGTCTGACTTGACCTGCGCTGCATGGGCCACGGAAAAGTGTGAGTCAGTGCTGTAGGCCGTGCTCTCCATGACTCCATGACAGGACCACACTTCACCAAGACATGATGCTTGCCTCGCGTCTCGACCAACCAATTAATCTACAGTGCGCCAACGATACTACTGTACAACGATAGTCGCTATTGAAATCTACCAAGACTCGTGGCATGTGCTCGGGCTGACGTGACGTCCGCTTGCTCCCTCCCGTGTCCGTTCATGACATCGCTCTTGCCCGCACATCTATTGTACATGCGTTAATTCGGTCCAGCGGGATGTTTGGGCTCGCGAGGCGGTTCCGGCTTTCGGACGACGACAAGTCGGGCACCATCAGCTTCCACGAGTTCCA